CCTTACCGTGAAAGAAGAGACAGGGGAACCAGGGGGAAAGAGCCGTGGGCAGTCTAGATTTCTGGGGTCAGTGACCGGCCAGAGGCCCACACCGCGTGGGGGTGGGGCGGAGGCCTGTGTGGACCAGTCACGCCCCTGAGCGTGGGGCCTCCTGGAGTGGCAGGTTAGAATGTTCCCATGGTGTGTGCAGTGGCCCTTAGGTGGGATTTTCCACCCTGCCCAGGCATGTGCTCTGGGGTTGGGTTTCCAGGGTCTGGGTAGCCTGCACCTGCTGTCCCTCCTTGGTTCAGTCCATCACACATGCAGAGTCCTTGTGTAGGCTGGGCTGCACCTCAAGGGACCAGGAGGAGGGGGATCAGATTAGCCCTTGCCCCTGGATGTCCCAGCCTGGGTGGGAGATGGCCCAGACCAAGCAGTACCAGCAGTGCAGGCAGCCGGACAATAGTCCCGTCCTAGTGGGCGTCTCAGGCCGGCTTTGTGCTGGAGGTTTAGGGTCTGCTGCTGCTGGTGCAGGGGCGGGTGTGGGGTGCTGTGCCTAGAGCCTCTAAGGGCCTGAAAGGACTCACTGACCAGAGGGACCCTGATGGGTATGAGAGTGGACAGGCGAGTTGTAAAGGCCCCCGTATGCTGGGCCAGGGAGTTGGGCTTTGCTTTGGGGTGGAGGTTCTTAAACGTGCTGATGGCTGAGCCCCCGGGTGTCCCAGTGCTGTGTGAAGTGTCTGGAAATGTGGATACACTTAATTCTGTCCTACAAGCATCAACACTCCTTGGCTAGGCTATAAAATCACCACTGTGAGCTCACACGTGCCTGATAAACTGTGTCATCGGCTGTTTTTGAGGTTTTATTTTAATACACGTTTGCTACTCATCTGCATGTGGAGGCAGCTGTCCAAGTTTTAGAAAACTACTCTTGGAGTCACATATGAATATGTATATGTACACGAATCCACGCGTTCATGTGAGAGGTGTCTCTTCAGTCATCTAACATTTTTTCAGTGGGAATTGGCCAGTGTGGGGTAAGCTAGTTCTCTGGGTTATGGGGATAGTGGGGCACTGGGCAGGGG